GTCTATAAATTTAAATGTCCTTTGGGAGAATTCATCTCCAACGGTAAAAATAATATTTATGTTGGACACCCTACGACAACGTTGTTTGAATGATATGTCCAACATTTCTAAAAATCTACAACATCATACCTGTCCACATATGCAATTCAGAAAAGTTCTTGTTGAAAAAACTTCTATACTTTTTCATGAAAATAATAAACATAAACAAAAAATTCTCGTAGTTATCTACATTAAAAAAATGAAACCAATGACAACAATAAAATTCTATCTTTTGCCGTAAAAACTGAAAAAATTGAAATACCTGTAGCATTTTCCTGTGTTAGCATAGGACAGGGAGTTTTGGAGAGAATTGATAAGAGTTATTTATAAAGCTGCAGTTAACCTTAGTCGAAACAGTTCTCATAATGATTCTAAACGAAAAAGAATAAATGTTGTCGTCGTTGTTGGTATTGTTATTTTTAAAGAAATAATTTAACTTTTAATTTAATTATAAAATGTTTTTATGATCGTAAACAAATTTGTTGGTTCGAGAAAGGAGCATTTCTCTTAAGGAGAACTTGAAAAAATCCAGTACATATATTTATGTTAGGGCTAGTAACTAGTAATGCATTGGATAAATCCTTATATACGAACTCTTTTTGCACTCATTACGGTTTTTGAGGTTTCTGGAAGTTTCTTCTCTATATCATAAGGAACAACAGTTAAAGTCGATCTTATATATAAATGCTTCAGAATTATTGTGTTCTTGATTATTTTTGGTTTTTAGCATTTCCAGTTTTTTAAATATAGTCGTAATAAATTTAATGATAAGATTATATTATTTTGAATAACTGATATTGGTAGGTAAGATTATGTTTGTTTTTATTGAATTTATTATTATTGTTGTATTTATTATTTTTAATATTAATAGTACTGCTACTATTACTGATATTATTATCATTATAACTTTTCTTCTCATTATTTTTGATTTTGTAGATTTTTTTCAGATTTTCTTCTAGCATTGCATATAAAGTAATAAAGATATTGAAGGTTTTTAAAATATTTTCAACATATATTTCTTCTTCATATAAATATTTAGGGTTGTAGAATGCTAGTGCTCTTCAATAAAATTCTATAATTACTCCTGATTTTATTCTACCAGGCTGAGAATAATAGTTTATGAAGTTACTCTTTTTCTGTAAACTTATTTTTAGGCTGTCATCGGTTGTATTTACCATAATATCTAGGAACGGTAATTAGTTTCAGTTTCAGAAGTAAAATCTATCGTGAGTTCAGCTCTATTTAATCTAGTTACAAGATCGATTTTAATAGTATGTCCTCTTATTAGAATATCATCTGTGTAGCTAAAATAAGTAGAATATGGGGGCACACATATATCTGAAAAGAATCATGTACTAAAATAGTGGTGAAAAAAATTATGTTTTTCTTTTTCCAATTTTAGTTAATGCCAAATGGAAATAATTGACAGATCGACGACATTTTATTAATTTCATTGAATGCACATGAAAAATTACCGAATTTGTAGAGACGGCTAGGTTACTAGGTCATTTTGTAGTAGCCGACGCAAATTGGGTCAGTGTAAACATGTCAAAGAAAAAAAATATAAGAAAATATTCCAACATGAATGCTATGCCTTCCCATTGACAGATTAACTTAACTTGTTATTTGTATTTTTGCTTGTTTGTTTATTTTTTTTGTTTGCATTGAACACGAAGTCTATCGAGATTTGAGTTTTACGTATTTCAACAGACGAACGCGATGGTGAGTTTTCTTCTTTGATGAAATGTAAACAGTAATTTTTTTTTAATTTCAAATATGACCAATTCAAAATGAGAAAATGAGCTAAGAAAAAACATGACTATCAATGTCGAATTTTCCAAACGGTCATAAACTGATGAATTATTGGTTTTCAAGGGTTCATCACAGGATCCAATTGTTTATTTAGCCTTCGATCTATTTTCGATTCATTTTTCATGCTGGTCAACCATTTCGATTACCTTTTATGCTGTTTCTTTTCTATTCCCACAGCTTACTCCAGAATAGTTTTCTTTTCTGTAGCACTCATTTTATTTTCCACATTCTTTTGGTATTTCTTCATTTAGTTGCTGTTAGAATTTTTCATCTTTTCTAAATGTTTTATTCTTCTTGTATTGCTGAACTGTGTTAGTTCTTTTGAGCCTGAAAAAACCTTTTGAATTATCACCTGCAGTTTAATTCTTTTATTTTCTGTTTTTGCTGCAGAGTGAATTTTTCAATTATTTCTTCCTAGTGATTACTTATGCATTCTTATTTGTTCCTCACTGATTTTGCTTCTCTTAAATGTTATTGTATTTATTGACCAAATATCATCTTCCATCGCTTTTGCATCTTTTTTAGATTTCTTCACGAATACCAATTTTGCTGATAACTCGTACGTCAATTACAAGTTGCTTCAAATCAATGACGTTTTTAGTGAGAATATATTTCATCGTTTTATTCACCTTCCAAATTTTTAACTTAATTTTTTCGACCTCATTTCTTTATTTTTGTATTAGGTTCTCTATAGCCGTGTGGAGTCACGGTGGAGTAATGGATAGCGGCTCGGATTGAGGAATCGGAGAGCCGAGTTCGAATTCTAGTCAGAACCATTACATTCAATTACTTTTGCTAATATCTTAGGGAAAGGTATGAATTCTCTTCTTCTCTCCCCTCCCAATTATGGGTAAATAGCAGGACAGACCGGATTCTAACGCCTTGGATGGAAACTGGTGTACCGTAGAAAGAAATGGCAACCTCGTCAGTCATGTATCGAAAGACACATGATTGCCTAAGCGTGTATCACGCATGACACATAACTGACTGATAGTTGTGTAAGGTGGTTTATTTGATTTTATGGTTTCCGATTCCCGTTTCATCCGATCTATGTGTTTTGGGAAGCCTTACTGAAAGCTTTCTCTTCTGTACATAGTTTCCTAACCGACCTTGTGGGAATGACATATTTCCCACCTGCAGCCCTTTTTTCACAGGCGCAAAATCACAGTCCTAATGCTACTTTTATGGCAAATGTCCAAACAAACTTCATTCCTTAGTACCACCTGTTCATAGGTTTACAGCCAAGACCCGTTTGGCTCTATCAACTCAGCTTCTTCCCAAGAACTGCCACTTTGTAGTACGAAACTTTCGCAATTTTAACTTCATCAAGTCTAGGAGTAATCATAATCTATCCACTCTAACCCTAACTTCCTATTTCCTTCTCTTGCGCTCATATCACACACGTCATTCATTAACCCTCTACCTTGAGTGACTCTTGCAACTTGTATTGGATATTATAAAGATTAGAAAAAACTGATGGTGAGAATAGCATCGTCTCGTTAGCGTTCGTTTCGCCTGATTGGTGATCTTTTGTTGTAGGAAACGTTGCAGTTCTGTTCCATTTTGCGACCAACCTCTTTGTGGGAGTCGCTTTTCAGATAGCAGTTCATTTCTTTGCCTGATCACCAGTAGCATTAGAACATTTACCTACATGAAAGGATCAAACAGCGCCCATCAAAGAAATACATAGAAGGAAGCGACTAAGTTAAGCGACTCTTGGTTATTGAGGAATCAATTGCCGATCATGGAGATCAAATCTCACATCTGACCATCATATTTTGGGAGAATAATTTGGATTACCGCTGTGGATACCCAAGAATCAAAAGTTTGTTACCTGTTTTTATGATAAGGGGATGATGTGATTATATCGTGGATTGAAATTAGCTTCATTTCAATCTCAAGACTACCTTGAAAGAAGTTATTTTATTTATTTTTCAAATTTTCAAAAGGACAACACGACACCATTCTTTTTCTCTTTTATACTCTTTTCTTCTCTTGCCTATTACGTTTTTATATTTTCACATTTCTTCCTCCAAATAAAATCTTTAGCTTACACTAGTAGCATGATGTTAAAAAAAAACAACAAAAAGGTTAGCTTTATTAGTGCAGTTAATGGTTGATTGATAGAATCGAAAATTAGAACGCTTTCATCTCCCAGCTCATCTTTCAGCTAATGTCATTATTATTGCAAGTAGCTTATTATTTATTTTGTATCAGGACGCTTAGTTTACGTGATTATTCCAAAGTTATCGTGGGATAGGCTGGGAGTAATTCTAGTTGAGTGAGTTTTATTCCCAGTGAGTGACTTATTACTGTGGCCTTGTGCCGGACTAAGCTACGATTGATAAAAAAATATTATTTGGCAGGGGAAATGAAATCACTCTTCTCAGTATTTTACCGCTATAAATAGTAAAATTATGAAGTTTTAGTTAGAATTTAATATGTAGAAACTAAACTCAAATCTTACTCATCAAATTATCTTCCATGTCCGTAAAATAATGACACTTGGTAGTGATAAGAAAAACCAAAGCTTTAGCTATTTATATTGAATTCAAATGCATCGGCGCTAAATTCCAGTTGTTTTCTCCCTGCCAGGATTTGTCGTCTCTATCTATGTAAGTATCAGGGAATTTGTTTGGTATGTTATGGTTACACAGACTGCTAGTTAATATAGATAGTTGTTACTCAATGCTTAAAGGGGAACAGAAATGGTAATTGTAATGGTCCGATTTGACTATGGGATACGGTCTATCTGTTCGCTCTGAAAGTTCACCATTAACTAGATTCATTGGTGTAATTATCTCAACCGCTACAATAGGGCGTTATATAAAAAAACATATCCGCGTCGATGCTATGGTTCCTTGATATGAGATAGTGATAAGTCAATATCTTTTACATTGTCTTGTTAAAGTTTGTAAAGTTTTAGGCCAAGAAACAAATTTTAAAGAGCCATTTGGGGTTTCTTTGCAAAAATCTTTCAGGCCCTACAAAATATTGATCACTAAGTCTTGTTTTGTTTTTAACGTAACTTTCGGATAAAAGTATGAAATTAACTTTCACGGAATACTATCCGGTCGAATACAATGTAATATCCACGATAACCATGAGGTAAAATTTCATCAGAAATCCAAACAGATCTAACGACCAAACTAGTAGACAGACGGAAGGACGATAGGCTGGCGAGACAGACAAGGCGGAGTGTTGGTCTGTTTGGCAGGGAAACAAAGCACGTAGATTGGCTGATAAAAAAAATGGCTGGTGGATAAGTAAAGATAATCACAAAAGTCGGAAGCAATGAAGTGTAGATCGAGATTCTGATGAGATAAAGAAAAATATTCTCTGCAAATATCAGAAAGATCGGTTACCATTAACTGATCAATACGCATAAAGAAACAACTATAAGAGACACGTGAAAGAAAGGAAAATGGGGAAAGTAAGGGCAAGGAAGACGGGAAAGAAAATGCTATGAGGGAAAATGAAAAAGAAAGACAGAAGGATAAAAGAACAGATGTGAAAAAGTTGAGGGAAGAATAAAGAAACAAGAGAGAGGAAATGTAAAAGAAAGTTAAGAGAAAAATAAAAAAAATAATACAAAATGTATAGAAAATAAACTTTTTGAAATAAAAAAAAATCATGGTAGAAAGAAAGAAACAAAGAAAGCGACAAACATTATTATAATAATTGAAGAAAAAGAAACAGAAATAAAGAATAGAAAGAACTAAAAGAACGAAAAAATGACGGCAAAAGGAAGGTTATTTTTTATGCAGAAATTCATCCAATACAAAGCTCAAGTGCCACTCAATGTAGGAGGTTACTGTTTTTAATGAATGTGATATGAATGAAAGAAGAAGTGATAGAACTTGTAGATCATGAAGATAAGCAGAATGAATAACGCCAGACTGTTGAAAACTTGAAGAATAACCGAAAAAAAAAAGCAATGAAGAAAGAAAAAGGAAAATGCAAGATTAGAACGATAAAACCAATAACAAATAGAAAATCAAAAACGGTTACAAAGAAAAATATGTCTGGTCAACAATTTTTCGTTTCAGGAAATTTTATCATAATAAGAATGAAAACAACGTGTTTATAGATATTCTATATTTGTCTAAAAAACATTACCAGTATGGCATTTATTCACATCATCTTTATAACATTATAAACACAAATAACTACCAGTTTTTATTGATATAAAAAAGGAACCAATAAATAAGGAAAAGGTAAAATAATACTTTTGCTTGTAAGGATATGAATAAACATCGACTTGTTTTATTAATTACATATTAGTTGTTTGAAAGTATGTTTTTTAGTCTACTTTAACTTCTTTGAATTACATTTGCATTTTTGCAGGTATACAAACAGAAGGTTTACTTTAACTGGAAGCATATATCTGAATGTGATATAACGATTGGCATAAAGACGTTTATGATAGCTATAAAATTATTAGTAAAATAAGGCCTGTTTCCTAAAATAAGGAAATAATACTAGAATATCCAGCAAAAGAAATATAATTTTGTGGTGGCCCTACGCCAGATCAAAGGATTTATTGAATAGAATCTACGAGATTTCAGCTAATGTTATATCATAATTACCATCACAACCAAAATAAAACATAAAAAAACTTTACCAATAAAACTGTTAAATGTTTCTAATTTAATAAACTGATCTATGAGTGCTGTGAAATAATCATTCATTTCGATGTACAATGTTAGAAATGATAGGAGGGTTGCTTTTTCCTAAGGAGAAACCAAATTTGTCTTCTTGCTCTCAATTTATGACATTGCTATCAGGTTGCATCACTCCAAACGTAACCTGTTCAATTCTAGAGTTAACTCCCCCACATAATCGCATAAACTATACCACTTACTCTGTAGCCATCTACCTCGAGTGGTTCCCGAGCCTTGTACATTTTAAAAATCATTACTGCCATTAATTTTCAAAATACATTAGAAAAAAGTCTACATATTTCATTCCAAATAAATGTAGACGCGAAAAGCAATAAATAGATAAATAAAAGAAAAATAAGTAAATAAATAACTTGTCTATTTAACCCTAGAACACTAACCATCAATTAAAGTTACACCACTACTAACCATGGCTATATCATACCCGATTTTGAAAATATCAAAATAAAATATTTAATATAAATCTTTACTTGAAATATTTTACATGCAGGCACTTCAAACTTTGTACTTTGCGTTAACATTAATAAGAATTGAAAAACATATTATTTAGGTAAGAAAATCAGGTACTGAAAATTGTAATTAAAAATAAGAAATTTTTTCAAAATAAAAAAAAAAATATAAAAAAAATTATCCTTCGATGACTTCCAAACTCATTCCAGGTTTTCCAGGTCTTCCGGTTTTCCATGTCCCAGAGCCACTGCTGAAGTGGGGTACCGGACTTTCCCATGCTTTCAGGTCATGTTAGCCACTGCTGAAGTGGGGTACTGGTCCTGAGTTGACTTCAAACTCCTCATACGGCTTTCAAGGGTCACTGCTGAAAAGGAGTACTGGTCCTGAGTTGACTTCCAAACTCCTCATACGGCTTTCAAGTCCTGTGAGCCACTGCTGAAGTGGGGTACTGGTCCCGAGTTGACTTCCAACGGCTTTCCAGGTCCTGTGAGCCACTGCTGCTGTGGGATACTGGTCCTGAGTTTCCAAGGTCCTGTACGGCTTTCAAGGTCCTGTAAGCCACTGCTGAAAAGGAGTACTGGTCCTGAGTTGACTTCCAAACTCCTCATACGGCTTTCCAAGTCCTGTGAGCCACTGCTGAAGTGGGATACTGGTCCTGGAGTTGACCAAACTACGGCTTTCCAGGTGAGCCACTGCTGAAGTGGGGTACTGGTGGTCCCATACGGCTTTCCAGGTTGAGCCACTGCAAACTGGTCCCCTTCAAACTCCTCATACGGCTTTCCAGGTCCTGTGAGCCACTGCTGAAGTGGGATACTGGTCCCTGAGTTGACTTCCAAACTCCCCATACGGCTTTCCAGGTTCTGAGCCACTGCTGAAGTGGGATACTGGTCCCGAGTTCCTTCCAAACTCCTCATACGGCTTTCCAGGTCCTGTGAGCCACTGCTGAAGTGGGGTACTGGTCCCGAGTTGACTTTCAAACTCCTCATACGGCTTTCCAGGTTCTGTGAGCCACTGCTGAAGTGGGATACTGGTCCTGAGTTGACTTCAAACTCCTCATACGGCTTTCCAGGTCCTGTGAGCCACTGCTGAAGTGGGGTACTGGTCCCAAGTTGACTTCAAACTCCTCATACGGCTTTCCAGGTCCTGTGAGCCACTGCTGAAGTGGGTACTGGTCCTGAGTTGACTTCCATACTCCTCATACGGCTTTCCAGGTTCTGTGAGCCACTGCTGAAGTGGGGGTACTGGTCCCGAGTTGACTTCCAAACTCCTCATACGGCTTTCCAGGTCCTGTGAGCTACTGCTGAAGTGGGGTACTGGTCCCGGAGTTGACTTCAAACTCCTCATACGGCTTTCCAGGTCCTGTGAGCCACTGCTGAAGTGGGATACTGGTCCTGAGTTGACTTCCATACTCCTCATACGGCTTTCCAGGTTCTGTGAGCCACTGCTGAAGTGGGATACTGGTCCTGAGTTGACTTCCAAACTCCTCATACGGCTTTCCAGGTCCTGTGAGCCACTGCTGAAGTGGGGTACTGGTCCTGAGTTGACTTCCAAACTCCTCATACGGCTTTCCAGGTTCTGAGCCACTGCTGAAGTGGGATACTGGTGGTTCCTTCCAAACTCCCTCATACGGCTTTCCAGGTCCTGTGAGCCACTCCTGGTCCCAAGTTGACTTCCAAACTCCTCATACGGCTTTCCAGGTCCTGTGAGCCACTGCTGAAGTGGGGTACTGGTCCCGAGTTGACTTCCATACTCCTCATACGGCTTTCCAGGTTCTGTGAGCCACTGCTGAAGTGGGGTACTGGTCCCTGAGTTGACTCCAAACTCCTCATACGGCTTTCCAGGTCCTGTGAGCCACTGCTGAAGTGGGGTACTGGTCCCGAGTTGACTTCCAAACTCCTCATACGGCTTTCCAGGTCCTGTGAGCCACTGCTGAAGTGGGATACTGGAGTTGACTTCCATACTCCTCATACGGCTTTCCAGGTTCTGTGAGCCACTGCTGAAGTGGGATACTGGTCCCGAGTTGACTTCCAAACTCCTCATACGGCTTTCCAGGTCCTGTGAGCCACTGCTGAAGTGGGGTACTGGTCCCGAGTTGACTTCCAAACTCCTCATACGGCTTTCCAGGTTCTGTGAGCCACTGCTGAAGTGGGGGAGTTGACTTCAAACTCCTCGAGTACGGCTTTCCAGGTCCTGAGCCACTGCTGAATACTGGTCCCAAGTTGACTTTCCTCATACGGCTTTCCAGGTCCTGTGAGCCACTGCTGAAGTGGGGGTACTGGTCCCGAGTTGACTTCCATACTCCTCATACGGCTTTCCAGGTCCTGTGAGCCACTGCTGAAGTGGGATACTGGTCCCGAGTTGACTTCCCATCTCCTCATACGGCTTTCCAGGTCCTGTGAGCCACTGCTGAAGTGGGGCACAGGTCCGAGTTGACTTCCAAACTCCTCATACGGCTTCTTTCCAGGTCCTGTGAGCCACGGCTGAAGTGGGGTACTGGTCCCGAGTTGACCTCCATACTCCTCATACGGCTTTCCAGGTCCTGTGAGCCACTGCTGAAGTGGGGTACTGGTCCCGAATTGACGTCCCATCTCCTCATACGGCTTTGCAGTTCCTGTGAGCCACTGCTGAAGTGGGGTACAGGTACCAAGTTGACTTCCAAACTCCTCATACGGCTTTCAAGGTCCTGTGAGCCACTGCTGAAGTGGGGTACTGGTCCTGAGTTGACTTCCAAACTCCTCTACGGCTTTCCAGGTCCTGTGAGCCACTGCTGAAGTGGGTACTGGTCCCGAGTTGACTTCCATACTCCTCACACGGCTTTCCAGGTCCTGTGAGCCACTGCTGAAGTGGGATACTGGTCCCGAGTTGACTTCCCATCTCCCACATACGGCTTTCCAGGTCCTGTGAGCCACTGCTGAAGTGGGTACAGGTTGAGTTGACTTCCCAAACTCCTCATACGGCTTTCCAGGTCCTGTGAGCCACGGCTGAAGTGGGGTACTGGTCCTGAGTTGACCTCCATACCCTCACATGGCTTTCCAGGTCCTGTGAGCCACTGCTGAAGTGGGGTACTGGTCCCGAATTGACGTCCCATCTCCCCCATACGGCTTTGCAGTTCCTGTGAGCCACTGCTGAAGTGGGGTACAGGTACCAAGTTGACTTCCAAACTCCTCATACGGCTTTCAAGGTCCTGTGAGCCACTGCTGAAGTGGGGTACTGGTCCCGAGTTGACTTCCAAACTCCTCCATACGGGTTTCCAGGTCCTGTGAGCCACTGCTGAAGTGGAGTACTCGTCTCGAGTTGACTTCCAAACTCCTCATACGGCTTTCCAGGTCCTGTGAGCCACTGCTGAAGTGGGGTACTGGTCCCGAATTGACTTCCAAACTCCTCATACGGCTTTCCAGGTCCTGTGAGCCACTGCTGAAGTCGGTACTGGTCCCGAGTTGACTTCCAAACTCCTCATACGGCTTTCCAGGTCCCAGAGCCACTGCTGAAGTGGGGTACTGGTCCTGAGTTGTCTTCCATACTCCTCATACGGCTTTCCAGGTCCTGTGAGCCACTGCTGAAGTGGGGTACTGGTCCCGAATTGACTTCCCATCTCCTCATACGGCTTTCCAGTTCCTGTGAGCCACTGCTGAAGTGTGGTACTGGTCCTGAAACAAACTCCTCATACGGCTTTCAAGGTCCTGTGAGCCACTGCTGAAGTGGAGTACTGGTCCCGAGTTGACTTCCAAACTCCTCATACGGCTTTCCAGGTCCTGTGAGCCACTGCTGAAGTGGGGTACTGGTCCCGAGTTGACTTCCAAACTCCTCATACGGCTTTCCAGGTCCTGTGAGCCACTGCTGAAGTGGGGTACTGGTCCCGAGTTGACTTCCAAACTCCTCTACACGGCTTTCCAGGTCCTGTGAGCCACTGCTGAAGTGGGATACTGGTCCCGAGTTGACTTCCAAACTCCTCATACGGCTTTCCAGGTCCTGTGAGCCACTGCTGAAGTGGGGTACTGGTCCCAAGTTGACTTCCAAACTCCTCATACGGCTTTCCAGGTCCTGTGAGCCACTGCTGATGTGGGCTACTGGTCCCGAGTTGACTTCCTTCAAAACCTGTCTGTTCCTCTTCACTGTTCTTTGGTATTAGTGTCATCAAAGCGTAGGCAGTTGAGGAGGAAAGTAAAGCTGCCCTGTAGAAATTGAAACCAACTTTAGACCTCCAGACTTCCTTAGTGGAGAGGTGGTTGTTTCTCCTGCAGCCACTAAAAATGAGGACCCCAAACATGGCACTTATCTCCTCGAGTGTTGTAGGTTGTATTGTGGCCTTCTGATGCCTATATTTTACTGCATCAGTGTTTAACTTTTTGGTAGGTCCACTGCACAATTTCATTGATGATTTCATCCACAAACAACAAAGAGAAACACTTCTTTGGGATATCAGTTTGGGAAGCTTATTGGGAGGGGCCAGGCTGGACACCATGTAATATATTTCTTGCAGGAGTACGTAGTGCTCCTGCATTTGGCCTAGTTCTCCATATAAAGCCTTTTCTACATCTAATGGCAGCTGTGTTGAAGCGGACAACAAGCTCATCACGATCTGTTTGAGGTACAGTGCGTCGTCGTCGTCGTCCATGGGGAGCAGCAGGGGAAACATCAGGTGGAGCAGCAGGGCCAGCAACAGGGGCAGTAGCAGGTGCAGTAGCAGGTGCAGTAGCAAGGCCCGACCACAGGCAAGGCAGGGCTAATATGCACTTTTTCTTTTTCTTTCTTGGAGGTACATCGTCCAAGTCACTGCTGTCACTAGGTTCTTGCATATATTCACCATCAATGTCACTGTTATATAATTCTTCAAACTTCATCATAAGAACTCTCACATAAAAGAGACTCTATTTCACTGTATATAATTGATTTCTTACTCAAAGCCATTTTGAATAAACCTGTAATCTGAAATATGTTTGTAAGTAATATAGAATCACTATTTACACAGAGCCTCATAATCCTGTTTTTCATTCCACCGTTGATTACTAAAAATAGTACGTAAAAACTATCCTGAGTAGGCTATACCCGCCGTGCACAACACTGCGTATTACCAAGGTACTTACACAAACGCAGGCCTAAAGCACTGGGGGGTAGAGAAAGCGAGACGGCGCAACCTTCCCCTACACTGTCAAGTGGGCAACTGAAGCTACTAAGCAGCTGGGAACCATACGCACGATCAATGACGTCATTTGCGCTGGGTACTGTATAACCATAGTTAGTGTTCTAGGGTTAAAATCAAAGCAGGAAACGTTTAAAGTATGAAAAAGATGCAGAAATATTCTTTTTATAAGATATATACAATATGGAATCAAAAGTCTTTCAAATTTAATGTCTGATTTAGCCGTCCCATACTTTTAATGTTTAATTTGACCTCCTGCCTTTCAAGCATTAACATAGGAAAGTTTAGCGTCTTTTTTTTTGCGATGAAAAACACGTTGATTTGGAAATACTTGCAAAAATCAAATAATTGTCAGATTTTAATGACATTTTCAGGACATTCACAAATAAAAGAAATGTTTCCTTTTTAGAAAATCTTGAGAAAAACATTTTTGAACATCTGTTATTTCCAACATAATTGTCAGATTTTAATGACATTTTCAGGACATTCACAAATAAAAGAAATGTTTCCTTTTTAGAAAATCTTGAGAAAAACATTTTTGAACATCTGTTATTTCCAACATTTAAATTTCAAGAAATTCATTTTATACCACTTATTGTTTGTATTAGTTATACGCAGAACACCTTGGAGAATTTTTTTTTGTAAAACAGCGAAATTCTGCTCTGACTCGTAAAATAAAAAATGCAATAAAAATGCAATAAATGCAATAAAAATAAGATATTATTTAATTAGGAAAGCTTTTAATTGCTTTTATGAATAAGATATATTATGGATAATATTGTTTTACAAAAAAGAAACTTTTTCGAAGAATTGTTTTCATTTTTAAAAAAAATTTTGATTAGGGTAATTTATAAAGTTTTAAATCTTTTAAAATCCTGTATTAATTTGTACGAAATAGGTGATATTTTTATTAAGTAAAAACTATATTTATTAATCATAAATGGAAAAGCTTACTACAATTCAGATGCTCCAGTATTTTAAAAAGAATTTTGAATATTTCTTTGCGTGTTTTAAACGTGCTGATGTTGCAAATACGGATTTCCATATATATAAAATTATCAGAAATTAAGAGTGAAATTTGAAGAAAGGTACCAAAAATTCAATAAAAATACGGAGAATATTTTCCTAAATTTCCTAAATTTTTTAAAGATTACTGTTAGTTAATAAATTTTATATATAAAAAAATGCTCTCACGTTATATTCCTCAAGTAATTTTTACAGATATGTCCTAAATTTCAAATAAACACTCTTTTCCCTGTTAAAAAAAAACATTTGTATATTTTAAACTAAAAGTAAGTAGTATTTGTTTTAAATCAGATTTATTGAACTTTAAATCGGCTTATATTTCTCAAATAAAATTTCAGATTAATATATGTTATATGTCTGCAATGTTATTGGTCCTGATCAAGCATCTCGCCCTTAACGTATTTTTCCTGTGCCATTTCTATAAATACTTTCATGGTAATTGTTCTGATAAACTTTCCTCTATAGTATCTGGACTTTATGAATTTAAGTGCAGCGCGAGATTTGCGGCAAGGTCTCACCATTTTACAATTGAAATGGCTAGATGTAACTGTAAGTTCTATACTAAGAGTTTCTTCTCTAGCACCTCTTGCTTGTGGATCTCTTTTCGACGTTTTGCTTTTCAGTGCAATGTCAATAGTTATCAGTTGTCTTGTTAATTCCTGTTCTTTTCTGTTTCACTCTCAATATTTTTTTCAAATACTTTCTCACACCCAGTAACCTTTTTGCCCCTTAGTGGCTTCATTGCCTTACTTGGGGTGAAATTATTAAACATAGATATACATTGTGTTTCTCACCATTTGGTACAATTTTAAAAATTTAAATAGTCATATTTATAACCCACTGTTAAGATAATGGAGATCTACCAAGAAAGGTGAATTTCTCTAAGAACCCAGACGCAAATTTACTGTGGATTATCTAGCGATTAAAGTAATTTCTATACACTTTC